TGAGAGAGAAGCCTTTGATTCTGCAATTGCAGCAACTCCTTGGGCTGGGGGATGGGCGCTCTTCCATCCAAAGCCTCTGGGTGTTCCTGACAATGGACCCCTTGTCCTGCCCACCCCCATCTCCCCTTCTTCCTGCACTGCCCTCCATTCCCAGCTCCAGGCGTGGCTGTCCATGTGGCCTGTGTTCAACCCTATCTTGCCTCCGAGAATAGGGTTGGTAGAGCTGAAAGATGAGAGATTTTCTTGTGCTGTGGGGGAAAGGGGCACCATCCCTCCAGTCCTTGGGAGCTCCCCAGGGGCAGTAAGGAGGAAGGCATATAAGGCTGCTGAATTATGCACCTCTTTCAGAGGACAAACCCACCCAGTCCTGGGCCACGCACTGATCTGCCTGTGGAGAGGGGCAAAGCAAAGGCCAGCCTCAGTGACAATGACCAGTATATGGATGACCTCTGTTTCCCTACAGGCTCTGAATCCCCTCCATGAATCCTCAGAAGAAAGTGGACCTGAAACTCATCATCGTTGGAGCCATTGGGTAAGCTCAGCTCAGCTCTGGGGATTGAGAAGTAGCCTCTTAGCCAAGGACAGTGAGGCCTCATGGGTGTGTTCTCACCTCCCACGAGTCTCTTTTTTATTCAAGGTGGCACCAGGAAGTGCATCCCATCCCAAGGAAGGGAACTGAGTGGGGGGGAGGAGGGAGTAAATAAATGGTTTCTGACCCCAGCTCTGCAGTAAACAGCTGTGTAAACAAGGCAAAGCGTAGAGCATTGGGTCTGCCCTTCTATCTCCTGCTACACACCTGCCACGTGGTAAAAACCTGACCATTGCTATAAGATAATCAGTTCTGTCCTAAACTCTGTCTAGAAATCAATTCCTAGTCCCTTGCTACTCCAAGTGTGGCCCACAGACCACAGACATTAGAAGTTCAGAGTCTCAGGAAGAGACAGTGGTGAGAGGGGCATGGTCAGATTCCGAGGATAATGTGAATGTGTTAACATGTGCGTGTGTTTGTGTGTGTGTGTGTGTGTGTGTGTTCACATGTGTCTGGGGTTTTTCCTCAGTGTGGGAAAGACCTCTCTCCTTCATCAATATGTGCATAAGACGTTTTATGAGGAATACCAGACGACTCTGGGGGCCAGCATCCTCTCCAAGATTATCATACTCGGTGACACGACGTTGAAACTACAGGTGAGCAGCCCTCCTCTTCCCGTTTCACCTTGCCTACTCCTGAAAATCCCCCTGTGCTCCCTGGATGGCCGCTAACGTTGCACTGTGCACCAGGAGCTAGAATAGCCTAGAGCAGAGACGGCAGACCTCAACTCAGGGGCCAGACCTAGTGCACCACTTGTTTCTTGTAAATAAGTTTTCCCTGGGGCACAGCCACACACCCATTTGTTTATCTGTCTTTTGCATTACAATGGCAGAGTTGAGTAGTTGCCACAGAGACTTTGTAGCCTGCAAAGCCTACAATATTTACTATCTGGCTCTTTATAGGAAAAAAAAACATGGCTGGGCCTGATCTAAAAGGGAAAGCACTAATCCAGAGGTTGGGAGACCCCACACCTATCTCAGGTTCTCTGGAAAACTTGGCAGGTAGCCGTGGGCAAGATACTCCTCAGGGCTAAGTTTCCAAATTTGTCAGATGAGAATAATAGCCTTTGCCCTAATAACACAGAGGAAAAATGAGAGCTCAGATGCGAAGGCACTCTGAATTAGATGTCACTGCCAAGGTGTGGCAGTGTGCATGGGTGGGACAGTCAAAGGGGCCGTGTGTGAAAGGACCACATGCACTGTACCAGGGCATTCTGCTCCCTGCTCAGAAAAAGCTGTGACATGATATAAACCCCCTGGTTGGGTCTGCCTCTCACCACTGCCCCGTGGGCGGCTGCTCTTCCCCTCCAGATCTGGGACACTGGCGGTCAGGAGAGGTTCCGCTCCATGGTGTCTACGTTCTACAAAGGCTCTGATGGCTGTGTCCTGGCTTTCGATGTCACCGACCTGGAGTCCTTTGAAGCCCTGGATATCTGGCGGGATGACGTTCTGGCCAAGATTGTCCCTACGGAGCAATCCTACCCCATGGTGTTGCTGGGGAACAAAATTGATCTGGCAGAGCGGAAGGTACCATTTATTCGTTCATTCATTCATTCAACAAACCCACGGCACCCACTATGGCCAGGTACTGTTTTAGGTCCTACACATATGGTGCTGAATCAGGTGCAGTTCTTACTTCAAGAATGTCTCAGGCTAGTAGTGGATGCAGACACTTTAAAAGACAATTGTGGTACAATATGGCAAATACGATGACAGAGACACATACAGCTTAGATACTTGGGGACCACAATAAAGTCCCATCTACAGATCAAGTCCAGAATACAGGACAGCTTCCTACAAGAGGTGGGCACCAGGCTGAAGAAATAGCATGATGAGGCTCCACGCCCATAGCACAATGGTTAGGGCACCAGCTACATAAACCGAGGGTGGTGGGTTCAAACCCAGCCTGGGCCAGCTAAAAGCAACAATGACAACTGCAACAAAAAAATAGCTGGGCATTGTGGCAGGCACCTGTAGTCCCAGCTACTTGGGTAGCTGAGGCAAGAGAATCGCTTAAGCCCAAGAGTTGGAGGTTGCTGTGAGCTGTGACACCACAGCACTCTACCAAGGGTGATATAGTGAGACTTTGTGAGAAAGAAAGGAAGATAGAAAGAAAGAAAGAAGAGAGTAAAAACTGAAGACAATTTTGTCTAGAGACAAGGAGTGGAGGAGTTTGGGCACCAGAGGTAGACAGGAATCAGGTCTCTGTGGAATTTGAATTAATCAGTAGAACAGCAGTATTTCTGCCTAGGGTCAAGTGGAGGATCTGCAGTTATAAACTCTTGGATCTGTAAGTTTTCTGGGAAAGTAGTAGAGTTGTATTTTAATTAGCTTAAGCGTATTCTGGATCATTAGGCAAACCAGCTGAGAGCTGATGGCAGTGGCCCAACGTGTGCAGGCACTTACCTTTACAGGGCACGGCAGAGAGAGCTCTTTCTATCCTTCCCTGCGAATGAGGAAAGAGTATAGGTAGACTTAATTTGTAAAAGATGCTCTTGTGTAAGTTGAAGCTCAAATGACATCAAAAAAAAGCTGAGCTGTTTGAACTAAGTTTTCTTAGCATTTCAGAGAGAGAACTGAATCATGTCTGAACGACGTTTTCACAGTGGTTCAAATAGAGAAAAGAAATAGAACAAAGGCATTATTTGGCACAGTTAAGTGTGTTGATGGATAGAAGGAGGGAGGAAGGAGAGAGGAAAGGCAGAGAGGAAGGGAAGGAGGGAGAGAGGGATGGTGCTTCTAATTGAGCTGCCACCTAGAAAGTCAACGAGTTATCAGTCCTGTGGTCACTTCAGGTGGGAAACTCAGGGTCGATTCTCTAATTACAAATATCCAGCCTCAGATAACAACCTCAGGTCAGGGGCTAGGCACGGTGGCTCACACCTGCAATCCTAGCACTCTGGGAGGCCGAGGCAGGTGGACTGCTTGCGTTCATGAGTTTGAGACCAGTCTGAGCAAGAGCAAGACTCTGTTTCTAAAAATAGCTGGTCCCTTGTGGCAGGCACCTATAGCCCCAGCTAGTCAGGAGGCTGAGGCAAGAGGATCATTTGAGCCTGAGAATTTGAGGTTGCTGTGAGTTATGACACCAGGGCACTCTACGAAGGATGACAAAGTGAGACTCTGTCTCAAAACAAACAAACAAACAAACAAAAAAACAACCTAAGGTCATTCAAAGGCAAGGGGTCTGTCCTTTCCTTTCCCGACTGGGGCCAGCTGCAGCTGAGAACCCTGAGGTGGTCTAAGAAGGGGAGTAGGTCCTTATGATTTCATCGCTAACCTCATGGGTCTATACTTCCTCCCATCATCTGGGATTGTCACTCTGGTCTCAGACCCTGTCAGAAGTAGAGCAGGAAAAGGCTGGTCAGGCAAACAGGACAATCTTTATTTGCCTGGGTCTGCTCATCAGATGACGTAGCCTATCCAGCCTGGCAGGAGTTGCAGACTGTCTATTCTGTGGGTCACATCTTTGGGTGCTTGAGAAACCTCCACTGGGAACACTTCACTGTACCTCCCATACAAGGATCATGCATTCTCCTTCTCCCCCTCCTCAACCCCTAACTTTCCAGCCATTCCCACCCCATCAGGGTCACCCCCTCCTCTGAGCAGTGCTGTGAGTGGAATTTCCAGCAGCTCCCGCCTGGCCGTCTCTCTGCTGAACTCACTTCCTTCACAGGGTGCACGCTCGCATTCAGGCTCCATGGCAGGACAAGGGCAACTACTGCTCAGGGAAGTCTGTTCCCTCTGGGCCTCACAGCCTTTCACCTTGGACCCCAGGGTGTGTGTCAGACCCCAGTTCACTGAGTCCACCAAACTCACATGTTAGTGACTTTCCTTGAAGTCATCTTTCAGCCAGACATGGAGCCTTACCTGTTTCCCTTCTTGGGGGAGTTATACTCACAACACTACACTCTCCAAAGAAATCCTTTTGATCCTTCTTTTTAGCCTTTCACACCCGTGCTGTGTGTTTCAGAGTCATCTAAGAGATTCTTAGCCATGTACCTTTAGAAATGTGTCCCAGCCCAGGCTGGTCTGTCTCCCAACCCATTTATATCATCGTTCCTCCACCAAAGCTTCCAATTTGGCATCTTGTTTCATACATCTGAAGGATATGGTGGGGGTAAGAGGATTGAGGGAGTGCAGGACTGAGACAGACTTTTACTCAGTGAAGTAAGGGCCATCATCTTCTATTGAGAAGAAGGAACCAATAGGAGGCTTGAGAATGATGGCGAATCGCAGCAGCTGCAGAAATGGGAGGAAGAGCTCATCAAGGTCCATAGAGCTGACAGCAAGGGCTCAGCTGGAGGAGGCCAGGGCTTAGGTGCAGTCTGTGCGGTGTCTTCTTCACCAGCTCTGCCTCGGGTACAAGCCAGAAGCAAAGGACCTGAGACTGAGGCCTTTCCAACCATGAACAGCCAAAGGACAGAGCCATGAGGGCACTGAGACTCGTGAAGGGAAGGAGAGGGGCAGGAGAGGCTGAAGGGCCAGTGATGGGGCCTCAGAGGCGACAGTGCAGGGAAGGAGTGAGGGCCTGGGGGATGGAGGGAAAGGAGACCTGGACACAGAATGGAAGGCTGAGGGGGTTTTTTGGTTTTGTTTTTGTTTTTTTGAGACAGAGTCTTACTCTGTTGCCCGGAGTAGAGTGCAAAGGCATCATAGCTCACAGCAACCTCAAGCTCTTGGCCTCAAGCCATCCTCTTGCCTCAGTGTTTCTTTCTTTCTTTTTTTTTTTTTAGTATAGACAGGGTTTTGCTATTGCTCAGGCTGGTCTCAAACTCCTGAACTCAGGTAATGCATCCATCTTGGCCTCCCAGATTACTAGGATTACAGGCATGAGCCACCAGCTCTGGCCAAGAGGCTGGGTTTCATGTCACAAAGTCCCTAGGAAGGTGAGGCTGACATGGAGAGATGACAGCAGGGGAAGGAATCCTGAGGCTACCAAGAGAGGAGGGTGGTGTTTGTTGGGGGGAGGAAGAAGCCTCACCAGATGGCAAGTGTTCAATGAATGAGGGGGTACCAGGCAGGACCAGGAGGACCCCGATCTAAGGCTGGGGAAGGGGGGTGAGCTTTGAATTACAGAGAGAGGAAAACAAAAGTTTGAAAGAAGCAGTGAAGTGCCAGGCAAGCCAGCACCTCTGAGTAAGACATGCAAGTAGCCCCAGCAGAGAGGGCAGGAGGGCAGGGGTGACCCAAGAGTTTTGTCTTTCAACAAAGTAGGCTGAGAAAGTGCTTGGAGGGAGGTGGAGCAGGATGGGCTGAGGTGGGGAAGCCATAGTGAAGTAGCCAGTGGAGAGGAGGAAGGGCGGGAGAGCTGAGAGAGCAGAGGACTGTCACTCTCAGACCCCAGACGGTAAAGCCCAGGGGAGAGGCTGGGCAGTTTCTGCCCTCCAAGGCCCTCGATCCACATGGACTTAACCAGGGCTCTGCCAGGCCCTGGCCTGTGTGAGGAAATGGAGAAGATGCAGCTGACAGGGTAGGACGGAGGATGGCTGCAGGAGCGTCCTCTCTGAAGTCAGCCCAGGAGCCAGTTCATGCTCACTGGTCCCATGTGCCTCCCGGCCTCCTCCAGGTTTCTGTCTGTGGAATGGAGACCAGAATACTGACTTCCTGAGAAGTCATTAAGGAGATGATGGGGTGGTTATCCTCCTCCTTCCGATCTCCACAGGATGGGCTGGGGAGATTCAGCAGCCTTTTCTACTTAGTACAAAGACAATGAATATTTTAAAATATGTTGCCAGATGCCAGGTGCAGTGGTGACCCCCTGTCAACCCAGCTACTTGGGAAGCTGAGATAGAAGGATCTCTGGAGGTCAGGAGTTAAAGCCCAGCCTGGGCAACATAGTGAGACACACCTCCCCCGACCCTCTTATATGAGTATATCTATATACACATGTACAGCTATACGCCTAGACTTGGGAAGATGAGAAGGTTTTTCAGATGAATAGTGGGGATCACAACTACATGAATGTAAGTAATTAATCCCTTGAAGGGTATGCTTAAAAATTGTTAAAATGGTAAATTTCATGTTCCATATATTTTACCGCAATGAAAACATACACAAGTATATATAGGTGTTTATGTATGTATATATGTACATGTGTATATAGATACGTATACACCATTTACCAGAATGATTTTAAAGAAAAAATTTACATGATTAGAAAGAGCAGTTTTGCAAGCATCTATGCTATAAGGAATTTAGGGGATGTGAATTCCTTGCTTTATGCTCAGGTGGGTAATTTCTGACTCAACACTAACTCATTGAATTAGAATCATGATTCTTGAAACTTTCTATGTTACTTTTAGGAATGGTTTAATAATTAGTATGTGACATGCTAATTTTTAATACTTGTACAAGCAATCATTTTAAATATATGTGAGATGGAAAACATCATAAATAAAATGATATAAACTGGACTAATTTTGTCATAAATACACCCTCCAGTGACCAAGCAAAACTGTAACAGGAAAAGTAAAATGGTAATAACATACTGTCGACCAAAAGCAAAATTAAGGCAAGTTAACACTTAGAATTTTCATTACTCCCCATTTCTCTCCAAGTACCACACCCTGAGCTTGTTTCCAGAGTCACAGCCTGAGTTATAAATAACTTTCATTTTATAAATAAAAAATGAGATGATTTCAAAAATCACAAAACTGTAGCTGGAATTGGAAGAGAAAAGAGAAAAGCACTGTCTGGGTGGCTGTCTTCCCAGGCCAGCTTTCCAAGGGTGAGCAGGGCGGGATAGAAAAAGAATGTTAATCTCCAACACAATCTCAACTGATATTTCGGAGTCTGTATTCAATCATCTCCTATGAAACCAATAGAGAAAGAGCAGAAAAAATGAGGCTCGAAGTCTGTCCTAGCTGGACCCTCCGGCAGCCCAGTCATGATAAAAGGGCAGGTTCAGCCAAGATCAGTGGACTGGAGCTCTCAGCAGGTTCCTGGTAACTCCGGGTGACCTTGGGAAGGAGCTGCAAGAAGTTTAAGTCCAGGCCTTGCCCTCAGGGATTTAAAAAGATACAAAATCCTTGGTGTTCCTAAGATGCTATCAAGGCGTGCGATGTTAATTTCTGATGATTATGTATTTGCATGTTACTAGTAAAGCCAATAAAAATCAGTGGCACAACTCTCCTTGGTTTTTCCTCCAAATAGTTCAGGATTTGAGGCGTCTTGTTTATTCACCATGTCTGGGGTGTCTGTGCCCTACAGGCCGGAGTACTCTTGGCCAATTCCAGGATCACTCCTCCCACAGCCAGGAGGATCTCAGAGGTCAAAGGCCAAGACTAGGGCCTGCAAATTCTCTCTACTGTGCTCAAGCTCAGCAGTTCCTGGGCTCCCCAAAGTTCAGACTGCTTAGCTGACCCCAGCCTACACCTTCCAGTTTGGGGTTGCGAACTTCATGATACCAGAGCTACCGCTGGTGGACAAAAGAGGCATTGTGAAAGAATGCCACGAGCCACGGGGCCCTCCTGTCACTTCTGAGGCTAAGGAAGCAAGGACCAAAGAGACCAAGGACAGCAATGATATTTTTTATCCCAGTAAGATAGATGTTCCCAGACCCTGCAGAAGCCACAGAGGCAATTTGAGCGAGCCATCTCTGCTCTCCCCCTGCCTGCACTGTGTTCTGGGAGAGGGCAGAATGATCCTTTCTCTATGAGAGAAAGAATACATCAAAATAACTGCGCAGCAAGTACTCAATATGCTGTCATTTCCCCCTCCCTGGAATAACTGGACATCAAACTCAGTGGTATGATTCACCTTTGGAAGTAACTCAGTAGAGCTCCCATAGCATTTTTAATCCAGCAACGCCAAACTGGGACCAACCATTCGCACTTGGGTAGAGATGTATTTCTTCAGCCCGCACTGCAGGGCTTATGGGTGTCAGGAGGAGAGCTGAAAAGGCGACCCTGAGCTTAAGGAACCTGCACTATAGGAGGAGAAATGGAAGCTGGGGAGCGGGATTCTTTCTCAGTGCCCTGCAGAGGGCAGCTCAGACACGGAAGGGGTGAGGGCCAGTGCTGAGCTGGGGCTGCATCCAAGCTCTGCCTTCTCCCAGCTCTGGGATCTGGGGCAAGTCGCAAACCTCTCTGAGCCTCAGTGCTCTTGTCTAGAAAGTGGAGCTAATAACACCCATCTCTCAGGGTTGTGGAGAGGATGAGATGAGGAATGTGAGATAAAGTGTCCAGCACAGCACCTAGCCCACAGTCTCAGCATATTAACTCCCAAGACTCTACCAGGGGAAAAAAGCATCAGCAGGAACCCAAATCTCTGCTCAGTAATAGGCCTCCTAAGTGTGGGCCTGCCTAGCTGGCTCAGGGGAAAGAAGTCCTCCCTTTCTGCCCTTCCTGGCTAGTGTCTGTTACGGACATCTCCCTTCAAAGGAACTGAAAAAGGAGCCAATAGCAGGAAGCAGCTGTTAGGTTAGACCTTAGGAAGAAGGTACAGTGTAGTGGGCTCTAATTCCACCAGGCCTGTGTTCAAATCCTGCTCAGCCCTGTTTATTTTAAGCAATTTTTTCTCCTACTGACCTCAGTTTCTGTATCTGTGAAACGGAGCTAATAGCACCCACCTCACAGATGATGTTGAGGATTTAAGAGGTAACACATCTAAAGTTATAGACGTGTAGAAGGTGCTCCATAAACAAGCCTGGTGATGGCGGTGGTTATAGTGCTAAGGTCATGATGGTTATGATGCGGATGTGATGATGGTGGCAGTGGTGGTGATGTGACCATGGTGGTGCGAGCAGTGATGATGACACAACGGTGATCATTTCTTCCCTTCATTCAGGTGCCCCAAGAGGTAGCCCAAGGCTGGTGTGAAGAGAAGGATATTCCGTACTTTGAAGTCAGTGCCAAGAATGACATCAACGTGGTGCAAGCCTTTGAGATGCTGGCCAGCCGGGCTCTGTCAAGGGTGAGTAGCTGTGGTAGAAGTACCAGCAAAGACTGCCCCTTGGGTGAGGGAACCTCAGGAGCTTCCAGAGAAGAACATCTTGAGTATGGCAAGGGATGTGGATGGACAGAGTTGCTCATCATCCTAGTTAATTAGTTTTGCTAAATAGGCTCTCGTTCCAGAACCTGAGAATGCCCGCGGTCTCCTACCTTAGACAATGTAATCAGTGGTCCCTCCATCTGGCTATCAGAATTTTTTGTGGTGTATCTACAAATTCCAGTCCTGTATCTCACCCCCGAAGATTCTAATTTAGTAAGGGCTTAAAGAGTGATGATCTGGTCTAATCCTCTCCGGCAAGAAGAAAGCCCCACGGTGCCACTCATTCATTAGGTGAACTATCAGACCTGCAGGAGTTGCTGACATCTCCTAGTCAGAAAGATGAACAGGGCTACCTGTGATCCTAGTATTTTGGGAGGCCAAGGCAGGAGGATCGCTTGAGGCCAGGAGTCTAAGACCATCCTGAACAACATAGTGAGACTCTATCTCTACAAAAAATTAAAAAATTAACTGGGTGTGGTAGTGTGCACCTGTAGCCCCAGATACTCGGGAGGCTGAGGATCATTTGAGCCCAGGAGTTTGAGTTATAGTGAGCTGTGACTGCACCACTGTAATGCTGCCTGGCCCACAGAGGGAGACCCTGTCTCAAAATAAAATAGACACAGATCACTTGGTGGTATGGTTGTTCCACAAGCGCTCGCTGAGTGTGTGCAGGCCCCGTGTGGGCCCCTGTGTGGCATGAGGAAGGCAGACAGGCACCCGGATGGGGCCCAGAGGAGCGGTGCAGAGATAGCGTGGGGGAGGGAAGAGGGGAGAGAGAAAGACAAGATCATGGAAGGCTGCCTGGAAGCAGTAGGAGAGTTTTACTGCCAGTGGGAGGTGAAGGTCAAAGCTCGGAAGAGGGTCTGTGAGAGATTAGCATTGGGGGAGGCTCAGCTTTCTTCCCCATTCTGCTACATTTAATCAGGTGGGCTTTTTAGTAGAGGGAGAAGATAATCGTGACAATTATTTTGAATGAACAAATGAAGATTGGAGATTTCCAGTATATGGAAACAACCATGGTCATCATGGGTGACCAGCCTGCCTGGTCCTGCATTGCCAGCTGCCCTGGAGGGAATTGCTCCAGGGTCCAGCCCCGGGTGGTCCCAGAGAGAGAGGCAGAATCTTCCCAGGGAGAGATTCCAGCTAGACATCCTTACGCTCAGAGCTTAATCGTAGGGTCCCTCCACCCCCATGAGCTCTTGTTATGCCTCCCGGCCAGCCTCCGGTCCTCACTATCTCCAGCTAAAGGGAGCAGCAGGGCCGCCCTCTCTTAGTGCTTATTATACCGTAAGCATAGTGCCTCTGAAAGTACACACGCGCCTGTTCTTCCCATACAGCTGTCCCCTGGAATGCTGTGCAGTGCCGCTTGACCTTGCGTGGTGCTATGTGATAAATAACCCTCCACAAGCACAGTGCAGTGACTGCCAAATGTTTAGTCCCAGCAGGCTTCCATCAGTCCACAGCCAGGGTCTGGGTATGACAGTATCTAACCTTTCTGAGGAAGGCAGACCCTGTATTCTTGAAAGTTTGTCCTTCCTACTGTGTCACTTTCATGACACGGTGCTGTTAGTCGACTGTAGCGTGTCTACTTGTTGGCGGGGGCGGGGGTTGTTTTGTTTTGTTTTGTTTTTTACATCCTTTCTCTGCAAAAGAACAGGTTGGCAATCCCATGTCAGTCCCCTACATTTACAGTGGAAATTTACTGATCAGAAGTATGGAAGTCACAGATGTGCTATCTGCCACCAGACTGCTCTGAATTTGAATCTTGTCCTAGTTCTTTTGAGTGGACCCCTTGGCAAGACATATGACTTTTCTGAGCTTTGGTTTCCTCATCTATGGAAATCATTGGATTCCATAAGTATCTCTTGAGTTGTCTGGCAAGGGCTGGAAATACAGACATCAGTGCAGTCAAAGGCTGTGGAGTGAGACATTCACAGACAACCAAGGAGGGAGGTGAGCAGGGCATGGAGGGTATGACCAAGGTGAGGAGAGGACTCAGAAGGGGCCGGTACAAGGGTAGGTGAGGGGGCCTACCCAGAGAAGTGGCCTGTGAACAGGGCTTTGAAGGCAATTTGTAGTCTGCAGGTGGAGACAGACAAGCACCAGAGGCAAGAGCAGGGGAGAAAGGGCAGAGAGAAGGGCAAGGCCAGAGGCCCAGGCATGCATCCATGGGCTCAGAGGAAAAACCTACAGTGGGTCTGTGTACAAAAGGAAGAAATGTAGCATGGAGGGATGTGGGGGGATGGGGACACAGTGAGTGATGAAGCCAGCAAGGTCAATGGCACTAGATCACAAAGACCCTGTGAGCCAGGAGTTCAGACTTCATGCCACAGGTCCATGCTTCCCAGATGGTACTGCCAGGCCAGCCATGGCACTCAAAAGCCCACCAGGGCACGTCTTTCTGCAATGTCTTTATTACTCAGAGATTTGGAGGAAAACATTTTCACATTAAAACAAACATACATACTTACTAGGGTATAGAATATAAAATTCACAGGGGTTTTTAAGGTGAAATAGAAGTTTGCAAATATATATTTTAAGGTCAAAGAAGAGTTTTCAGAAGACATTTTCTTCCGGGACCTTTTTCTCCTCCCGACAGAGACTGTGTGCTCCCTCACTCCAGCCCAGGGTGTTTTGAGAGGAAGATGGGAGGTGCTAGTAGAGTCAGGAGAGAGTCCCCAGTGGGGGTGGAAAGAGCAGGGGCTCTGAAATCAGAAAGAACTGGCCTTAAATCTTGACTCCGTCTCACTGTGTGTCCTTGAGCAAGTTGTGCAGCCTCCCTAAAACATCACTTCCCTATCTTTAAACTATGATTAATAATATTCTCCCCATTGGGCTGTCCTGGGGGTTAAATAAAATAATATCATAGCACAGAGATGGCATTAAATAAAAGGCAGCTGTTTTAAAATAAGGGCTACAAGGCCAGGTGCAGTGGCTCACAGTGTAATCCTAGCTCTCTGGCTAGGCAGGCCAATGCTTGAGCTCAGGAGTTCGAGACCAGCCTGAGCAAGAGGAAAACCCCATCTCTACTAAGAATAGAAAAACTAGCCAGGTTAGTGGCATACACCTGTAGTCTCAGCTACTCAGAAGGCTGAGGTAAGAGCCCTAGAGTTTGATATTGCTGTGAGCTATGCTAATGCCACGGCACTCTGCTCAGAGCAACAGAGTGAGATTCTGTCTCAAAAATAAATAAATAAGTACATATATATGTATATATAAAATGGGGGCTACGTATAAGAGTTTTCAGCAAGAGAGTTTCATGCTGTAGAGAGGATTATCCGGCTCAGTGGGTATAAGTGGCTACTGCAATAGTCCAGGCATTGAGAGTATGGAACTGGCAAGAAGGGGGTGGATTAAATAGACTCTGAGGTAGAAAGTGTGGATGATGGTCAAGTGTAAGAGAGAAGGGGCTCAGCACCTGTGGCTCAAGTAGCTAAGGCGCCAGCCATATACACCTAAGGTGGTGGGTTTGAATCTAGCCCAGGCCCACCAAATAACAATGATGGCTGCAACCGAAAAATAACCAGGCATTGTGGCGGGTGCCTGTGGTCCCAGCTACTTGGGAGGCGGAGGCAGGAGACTCACTTGAACCCAGGAGTTGGAGGTTGCTGTGAGCTGTGATGCCACAGCACTCCACCCAGGTGGACAGCTTGAGGCTCTGCCTCAAAAAAAAAAAAAAAATGTAAGAGAGAAGGAAACAGGAGCAGTCTGGGTTTCTAGCAACCAGGTTTCTAGCTTGGCAAGTGAAGGGGCAATGAATTAGTGATGCCATGAACCAAGACAGGGAAAGAGGAGAAAGCAGGGACTTCATGAGAGCTCCGGGTAATGACGTCCATTTGGTCACATGCATTCGAGTTTCCTTGAGACACCAGGTGGAATTGTCCAAGTTGTCCAGTGAGTTCTGGACTAGAAATAGCAATTCATGTGTCACCCATAGAGAGACCAGAGTAGGTGCTCAGTCAGCATTCTGAAAGAAAGGAGGGTGGCAGGTTAACTTTAGTGTACCAGTTTGGCCACATTCAAGGGTTAGGGTACTTAGTTCTTCCAAAATATGACTAAGAATACTCCAATAATTAAAGAAGAGGCACCCACCTGCCCTGGGGGATTGGGTTGGTGAGATTTTGGAGCTGGAAAGTTATCAATACCATCTCTGTGGGGCTTGTCAGGCCCAGCTCCAGTGGCAGGGAGGCTCAGCTCCTTTTGGGTCAACCGGAGAAGGACAAAATTGCCACCTTCAGGAGGGAAGCAATCTGGCTAGCAGCTTGATGAAACCACAGCACCTTTATGTCCTCAGGATGCAAGACCTAAAGGCAGGGCCACTGAGTGACTGGGCTAGGGGCACAGGGACTGACTCCCACAATCACACCCCCCTGGAATGCACACATCAGAATTGCACTGGGTTACTTCGTGGTTAGATGTACATGTTGCCAAGAAGACTGGGGCCTGGAGAAAAGAATTACACGGGAAACCTAATTATAGCCTGGAAGGTCTACAGGCAGTCTGCAGAGCAAGATGATGCCATTTTCAAGTGAAAATGATGTCATAAGTAAATGGACAGCTCAGGGTTACCTTGGACCTGGGAAGGACGACCCGGCCTGAAAACCTCAGGCTTTGCCCATGCAGTGAGTGACGAAATGTCTCACACCTACCTGAGGCAGCACTCAGGTTCCTAAAATGCAAAGTTGGTCAGAAAGCCCGTGACTGCTCTGTGCACCCCGATCTCCTTCCCTAAGGCTGGCATCTGTGAGCAAGGGCATGGGTGTCTCTTTGTGAGGGGCACAGGGTTTGGGCTCCCGGCTGGCCTTTGCATGTACCTGAGGTCAGGACATACTCAAGGGGGAGGAATAAACAGGCCCTGCAGCCTGGGTCCAAAAGACCTAATTAGGTAAGTGCTTGATCTCAGGCAAGGCCTCCTTGTGTGATGAGAGAGAAGACCCAGAAAGTACCAAATAATAAATGAATCCTTTCAAAACCCTGCCTCACTTGAGAGATGGAACAATGAAAAAGAGGACTAAACGGTCACACTCTACTCCTGCTCCCTCACTGAGAGGTCCAGAGGTGTCCGATTTTAACTAAGATTAGCTCAGTGGAGGGAGAGGACCCTGCCCAGAGTGGAAGGGGCCAAGTGGAGAACTGGACAATGCCCAGAGCTGTGTGGGCCAGAGTCTGCATACCAGGCCAGGCCAAGCTGGGGATGAGAAGCCTCTCTGGGCCATATTCTCCCATCAGGCACTTTACGGTGAGATCGGGGGACAGGTCTATAAGCAGGGGCTAGGATCCTCCCCAATAAAGAAGGGAGATGGAGCTGAGGTGTGAGGACATCCTTGGAGCTTCCACAGAGGACAAATGAAGGCGCTCATTTGCAGAGCACAGACTGGCCCCAAGCCCCAGGACCAAAATTTCACCAACCCAATTCCCTAGAGCAGGTGGGTGTCTCTTCTTTAATTATTGGAGTATTTAAAAAATAGGCAGGGTGTGATGGCTCATGCCTGTAATTATAGCGCTCTGAAAGGCAGAGGCAGGCCAATTTCTTTCTTTCTTTCTTTCTTTTTGAGATAGAATCTCAAGCTGTCACCCTATGCAGAGTACTGTGGCATCATAGTTCACAGCAATCTCCAACTCTTAGGCTCAGTTGATCCTCCTGCCTCAGTTTTTCTATTTTTAGTAGAGACAAGGTCTTGCTTTTGCTCAGGCTGGTCTCAAACTCCTGAGCCTAAGCTACTCACCTGCCTTGGCCTCCTAGAGTGCTGGGATTACAGGTGTGAGTCACCACACCCAGCCACGGGCCAATTTCTTGAGCTCAGGAATTTAAGACCAACCTGAGCAAGAGTGAGTCCCTATTTCTTCTAAAAAGAGAAAAACTAGCCAGGCATTGAGGCAGGCACCTATAGTCCCAGCTGCTTGGGAGGCCGAGGGAAGATCACTTGTGGCCAAGAGTTTGAGGTTGCTGTGACACCATGATTGGCATTCTACCCACGGCAACAGAGTGAGACTCTCTCTCTCAAAAAAAAAAAAAAGTACACACATACACACAAATATATATCTCAAATAAAATTCTAGTAATTAAAAAAATTTGCTGAAGGATAGTCGAAGTCCATCATCTAGGCTGACTAAGGGCATTAGGTGCTCTGCTGGCCCCAAGTCCCCTATGAGGGAGAGGTGAGATGAGGGCTCTCCAAGAAACAAACCATGGAGAAGCACTGGATTCTAGGGCCAGCACCCCATGCTGTCAGGGTAAATTACTGCTCATCTGGGGGTGCAGTGGGTGACGGGGGGATCTCATGTATCTTGGGGGAGCACATCATCAGAGTACAGGAGGTAGACTGGACACTGCCACCTGAGGGATGGGGACATGGGCATTAAGGGTTTGATTGACATCCACTAGCTGGGGAGCTGGGGAGGAGATGAAACCAGAGTAAAGGCAGGGCCCCTGTCCCTTGGAATTACCCCCGAGAAGGGCACTTACAATAGACCACTGGGTACAGTATTGCCTGACAGGCAGGAGGCTCCAGGAGTGCACGGCTGGCTCAATCTCTCTGAGGCATAAGTGCCAGCTGTGGAAGGAGCATGACTGCTCTCCAGCTCTGCAACTAGTAGAGGCCATGGCAGAGTAAAGAGATGTGACCCCTTAAAAACTAGCCCATCTTCTTGAGAAGGGCCCTTTCCCCACCCCACCCTGACCCCTAAACCAAGTAGGGTGGTCTCTTGTTGAGGAGTGGGGCTAGCTGGGAGCCAGAGGCTTGTCAGCCCAAGAAGGGTCTTCCTCCAGAATCTTACTAGAGCAGGGGAGATTGAAGAATGGGCAGAGAAGCACAAAGCCCCCATAGAAATTGTTCTTTCTTTGTTATTGCTTTTTTTTTTTCTTTTTTGAGACAGAGTCTCACTTTTTCACTCTGAGTAGAGTGCTGTGGCGTCACAGCTCACAGCAACCTCCAACTCTTGGGCTAAAGCAATTCTCTTGCCTCAGCCTCCCAAGTAGCTGGGACTACAGGCACCCAATACCTGGCTATTTTTTTGTTGCAATTTGGCCGGGGCCAGGTTTGAACCCACCACCCTCAGTGTATGGGGCTGGTGCCCTACTCACCTGCCACAATGCCTGGCTATTTTTAGAGACAGGATCTTAGGCTGGCTCAGGCTGGTCTCCAACTCGTGAGCTCAGGCAGCTCAGGATTACAGGCGTCAGCCCTGTGCACGGCCCCCATAGAAACACTGAATCTACTGTAGGAAGAGTTCCCTGGACATCAAGGGACAGAGGACTGACAGTTTTTCCAGGTGCCCAGTGAGGGGAGTTGGGAGGCAGACAGGAGGGAGAGGAGGTTGGTAGTTTGGGGATGTTTATGGGACTAGTCCAGCAGAATTGAGGAGTAGCTGTTACCATCTCTGCCTGAGCCCAAAGGTCATCTCAGCCATCCCCTCTGAGAATGGAAAGTTGGGAGACTTAGTTGGAGGTCATGAGTCCTGTGCTGCTCTGGGCTCCTGGGAAGAGCCAGAACGGGGAGACAGAGAAGAAGGAGGGTGAAGAAGACTAGTGGCCTCCCCCTTTGGGCCTCAGTTTCCCAACAGTACAAGAAGGGGAGGGGGGAAAGGCTCAGTCCCATGGACCATTAAGAAGCAGAGGGCAGGCAGTGCTCTTACATCAGCACGTGAATGAGAATTTCTCCTTTCCTTCCCCAGTACCGAAGCATCTTAGAGAATCACCTCATAGACTCCATCAAGCTCTCACCAGACCAGTCAAGGAACAGGTGCTGCTGATCTCCAGATTCCCACTCTGGATGCCCAGAGAGAGTGTCCGCCCTGGGCCTGGTCGTCCTCGCTGGAGAGCAGACGGCAAACCCCTCCAGCCCTGCTGCCAGCCCAGCCTCAACCAGAGGCCCAGGCTCTATGGCCAGAGCCCTGAACCCTGTCACTGGGCCTCAGGCTGAGTGTAGTGAGGGCAGAGCTGGCCCTTGGGTCTGCATGAAGCCCACGGTGTCACAGCTAAATCCTGACCTGGAGAAGTCACAATTCCCCCAGTGGCTCCACCTTGTCTGCCACCCATCCTCCCAGAGACACTCCTGCTCCAGAATGCACATCTCTGCAGACAGGCCACTGTCTCTAGAGTCTGGTTATATTATCCTGTGGACAGGCATTCTCACTCTTTCCCACCTCAGGCCCCCATGGCCCCAAGCACAGCTTTGGACAATAGCGCAGCTCAACCTCCCTGAGCAATCAGACCAAGGAGTGAGGCCTTGAACACCTCGTGCAGGGCCTGCCTTGACTCCAGGCAGAAGCACATCAGGCCTGTGCACCCAGCAAGGAAGAAGGAGAATGAGCTCAGGCTTACATGAGTGCTCAGACAACTCATATAAATCTCTGAGTCTCAGTTTGTTCATCTGTCAGATGGGGGTGATGTAGGGTTTTGAGGACCAGAAGCTGTGTTTAATCTCAGCTGCTGGTGTTGATATACATTTATTCAACAAGTATCTGTGAGTATCTACAGTGGACAATGCACTGAGGTCCAGTGACAAACCAAACACACCAGCACCCTGCCCTCCTGGAGCCTATCTCTGGTAAAGGAGAAAGACAACAGACACAGAATTTAATCAGATATTTTCAAAAAGCATGTAAGTGCTATGAGAAAAGTGAAACCATGTAATGGGATAGAGACAAGGGCTGGGATGAGATGCTACTGCCAACAAGGTAATCCAGGAGGGCTTCCCCGAGGAGGTGACATTTGGCTTGAGGACTAGAGAATAAGGAGGCAACTGTCACCTGAGACCTGGAGGACAAACACTCCAGGGAGAGGGAGAAGAAAGGTCCAAGGCTCAAGAGGCCATGGTCTAGGAACAGTGAAAGGACATTCATTGACCTGAGGACTCAAAGCTGCTGTCCAGAGACAGGCAAAGTGGATCCAGCCCCCTGTATGCCTCCTTGATGTTCTGTGGTCTGGCCAGCAGAGGGCAGCAGTGCTCCTTCTCTTCCAGGTCGAGAGGCATGTGGAGGCTCCGCCAGCAATTGGTATTTTTGGTCCTGCAGGTGCTCAAAGTTTGTTCACTGGCTCAGGGTATGTTCAGCCCTTGGAGATCTGTAGGGGAGAGAATTCTAATTTCTTAAACTTAGCGAGAAGCGCAAATACTGCAACATACGTGATTCAGGCAAGAAATCAGCATCTGTGGCAAATCAGCATCTGTGGCAAATCCCAGGATGATGTGCCTGGGAAGCTCATGGATTCCCTGTCCCTGCAGACTCCAAGGCCATAATCTGCTTTTCACTTCTGGTTCCAGACAACAGAAATGGAACGAGTGAGTGAAATGTCCTTGCAGGGTTTTCAGTGGCCAAGTTCATGCCCAGCACAGGTCTTTTATCCACATAGAGGTATCCTTTCCTGAGTTCCAAGCAGAGGGGGGAGGTTAGCTTGTGATGCCAAGTGTCATCTGACTCTGAAGACATGCCTAGAGCTAGGGGAGTGGGAGTGTCAGAAAAGGATTTAGGGGCCCCGTCTTCCCCTCCATTTCTGGAGCATGAACTGGCTTGTCCTGGACAGGAGCATTAAGCTGGTATGGGAGCAGGATAGCCCCGGAGCTCTCCGCTGTCTGTGCCTTTCAGAGCTCCCAAAGACCAGCCACATGCCCTCATGACAGGGAGAAGGGGCCGTCCGGGGGGAGTGGACTGGATGTGTCTTGTGTGGGTAAGCAGCAGCCCCTGAACCAGTGGACATGTGGGCCCTACAACAAATAATAAATGTGCGCTTTCTGTTTTTATCTTTGGGGGCATTTAGTTTTTATATTTATAAAACACAGCTTACAGTTCAAAATGCAAAAGACACTGAGGGAAAGACAACTAAGAGTAAAGTAAGACTGGGTACCTGATTTGCAGGGCCCAGTGTAAAATGAAATCCCTTGTTCAAAAATGATTAAGAGGCTTGGTGCCTGTAGCTCAGCAGCTAGGGCACCAGCCACATACACTGGAGCTGTGGCAGGCGCCTGTAGTCCCAGCTACTTTCGAGACTGAGGCAAGAGAATCATGTAAGCCCAAGAGTTGGAGGTTGCTGTGAGCTGTGACGCCACAGCACTCTACCCTGGGTGACATAGTGAGACTCTGTGTCAAAAAAAAAAAAAAAAAAGAGTAAGAAAAAAATGATTAAGAATTTCAAGATTGTGGTATAAGTGGACCATGGAATACTATTCAGCCATAACAAAAGGTGGAGACTTTGCATCTTTTGCATTAACCTGGATGGAGATGAAACACATTCTCCTTAGTAAAGTATCACCAAAATGGAAAAGCAAGTATCAAAGGTACTTAATACTAACGTGAAGCCAGTAGATGAACTAATACATGCCCATACAAGAGAAAAACTCAATTCAATTCAGGTTGGAGAAGTGGGAGGAGTGGGGGCTTGGTGTGCTCCCACTTAAGGGGCACAATGTTAGGGTGTGTGGCACACCTGCTGGGTGCGAGATACGACTACAACAGGGACTCTTCCTACCAACTGCAAACGTTGTAACCTAATCACTTGTATTCTTATATTAATCTGAAATTTTAAGAAAAGAATTTCAAGATGACAACACATCCATGAAGTCCCTCCTGAGCAAACAATGAGTGGAGTTTTCAGTGCCCTCCAGAATGATAGCCGCCTTGGCCAAGGCCAGCGTGCCCCAGCGTGCCTGGGCCTCTGACACAATGCAACTTGAAAGGAAAAGAATTTGTGTTTGCAAGAGCCAGAGCCACACTGAGATTCAACCCGAGGCCCAACCCACACCTTTTGCACCTTCTTAGAGTCAGGAGACAGCCGGGACAGAATGTTCCACATGGGGTGTGGGGACTTGGGGAGCTGAGAACCCAGTGCATCCTTCTTATTACAACTGGAGTATGCAGTGAGCCATCCCCAGGGCAAAGGGAACTGAACCAGGAAATAATCAGGGCCATAGGAGGCCCTCCCTGTTAACCACCCCCCACCCAGCTCCTGCCCTGCTCCTGAGTCTAAGGCTGGCCCTTGGTTCCCACCCAGTAGGTACAGGGATTGGTGGAGGCAGGCAGCATCTGGGGCTCTGACTTCAGGCTGGGCCAAGTGGAGCCCGCTGGAGGCTGAACAGGAATGTGGCAACACTTCTGGAGCCCCTTCCTCGCCATCTCCTCAAAGAGGACCAGGATGAATAAGGCCGCTCTGCCCAGGCTGCTCCGCCCAGGCTGCTCCTGTGCCCGGCATGGCCCTGCTTGAGGAGCAGCACCAGGCGGCCGCTGAGTAACAGAGGGAACCCAGGCCAGAGCTCTGGGTGGCACACGCCCTTGGGGCTTAGGAGAAAACAGAACCAAATCTTATCACCAAATAAACCTGGGCAGGGCCAGCAAGATGCCAAACAGCCCAAAGGACTTTGGGAAATGCTGTCTCTGCTGTTGGCTTCCACTCAGGGGAGGTCCCCAACCTTTACTGTCCATTCAGTGTCCTGCCCAGTCCACCAGCCACAGGCAACTTCTCAAGCTGTTCCCAGAGGAGTCGGGCACAAGGTGGGCGCCCAGACTGTGGCCTGATTCCTAGGGTTCCAAAGTCCAGTGGGGGCCGTGGAACAAGCCCTGCCACACTAACCCCCAAACTGACTGGGACGCACAAGGCAGTGGGCTACATGCGGCCCCAGAGGCTCCTCCAGGCGGGGTGCTGGGGAAGGAGGCCCAGGTGAGGCAGGAAGTTTAGCTCATGTAGAGGGCAGTGGCCTGAGCCAGGACTGTGCGTGTGTGTGGTGGGGGTATATATGTGTGGCATGTGTGGGGGAGGGGGTGGTGTGTGTGCTGGGGTATGGGTGGGGGGTATACATGTGATGTGTGCATATGGCTCATGGTATATATGGGGCGTGAATGTGTGTGGTATGGTGTGTGTGTGTGGTGTGATATAGATGTGTTGGGGGGGCCTGTGTGCCTGTGCGTGTGTTTGTGTGGTGTGTGTTCATGATGTGTGTGGTATGTGCACGTGATGTGTTGTGTGTTTGTGATATGTGCCTGTGGTGTGGGGGGTATTTGAGGGTTGGTGGGTGTGTGGTGTGTGTGGTGTGGGATGTGGCATGTATGGTGTATGTATTTGTGTGCTGTTTAGATGACAGGCCTGAGGCTTCCCCTCCCCCCCCCCATCCAATCAAGTCCTGTCCACACCACTCCATCCTACTGCTCAGATCCATTCCTTTCTCCCCCTCTCTGTCCCGCCCTCCCCACAGCCTCCCACCCACCCTCTTGCCGCTTTCTTGGTCCTTCCACACGATGGTCATCCCTGTGGCATCCATGAGAACAAAATTCTTGTGGACCCCCGCACCCCCCCCCACCGCCCGCCACTGCCTACTGGTCAGGCCTCAGCACCCTCAGGGCTCCCGAGGAAGGGACTTCTCTCAGTGCCCAGGCTGCCATGCTGCTCACTTCCCATCCTGACCCGCAGGAGCCTCTGTGGAAGGAACACGGGCCCCTCTCTAGCCCTTTACCTGGCTAATCCCTCCTTAGCTGTTGGTTACCGGCTGAAACACCATTTCCTGCCAGTAGACGTTCCTGACCCCGGAGCAGGTTGGGGGCACTGCCTTGAGCCTCCACCTCCCCCAGTCTTCCTTAGCACTGTGCCAGAACACGAGCTCCACTGGGCTGGGAGCAGGACGGGAGGTTCATGGTTTTAGTTACCGTCATCTTCCCTCACCAGAGCAATGTCTGATGAGGGTTTGGTACTCAGTATTTTTAGAATGAACAGCACCTGCAATTCTTTACTGCCACTGTTTGCCCTTAGACTACAGCCTCCCTGAAGGCAGGGCCTGTTTTGATTCACTTTGGCCCCAGCACCCAGCGCA